AAATTAAAAAAATTTAGAAGTAAAAAATAAAAATACCTACAAATCTAGAAATGTTATGATTTCTGCCTATAATATTTGTTTGATAAACTCACGGTTTTCAAATTTATTTACTATTTTTATTAGGTCTCAGACCTCTTCTCTGCTACTACTTTTCTTTCTTGAATACATCCATCATAAACTCCTTCAGTTAAGATTTGGCAGGTGGTAAAGTTTTGACTTTCTGAAAATGTCTTAGTTCATTCCTATATTGCTGTGAGAAAGATGTGCAAGATGCACAATTTCAGGCTATTACGTTCTCTCAGAACTTTGAAGAAAGTGATTCTACTGTGTTCTGATGCCCTTTATATTAGACAGTTCTGCTCTCAGACTGACCTGTGTTCTCTGAAATTTCCTTTTTCTTTGGCTGACTGTAAGATTTTTTTTTTTTAATTTGGTGTTGTGTAGTTTTGCTATTTTGTGTCTATGTCTAAATTTTTTTTTTCCTTTACTCTGCTTCTCCTCAGTTTATATCCCCTATCCTCTACTAAAACTATGATTATATTATATTGGATCTTTCTTATATTTTTTAAAAATCTTTTACATCTTCCTGTTTCTCATCTATGCCACATTCTGGGTAATTTCTTCACATTCTCTGCTCCCCAGTTTACTATTTCTCCCTCCAGGAGTCCATTATTCCATTTAACCTATAGTATTTCCTTGATTACATTTCCAGAAGTTATATTTAGCTGCTCTGCAATTACGTCTTCTCTCATTGCTGTTACTTTTTATGACATATTTTTCTTTAAATATTTGTATATTTTAGAATTAAAGTATGTAAATATTTTAGCATTTAAATATCTCAACCATTTTAGAGATCTGTAAAATTGCTTTTGTTTGTTTGTTTCTATCTCATGGTGTTTAGTGATCTTGGTTGTAAGCTGCAATTTGTTTGACGTCTCATGGCCCTTAACTGGTGGTGCTTTCCATCTTGATGGAGTCCCAGATGAGTCTCCGTATTACTGAGGTAATCTGCATTTGCCCTCAGGGCCACCCAGTTTAAGTATTTGCCCACATTGTCCTGTTCTTGGCCCCGACTGAAACACAATCCTACTTCTCAGGTCATTAATAACTTCTAAGTTATAAGGCTTAATGAACATTACCAAAGAGCAGAGAGGACCAGATAAGTCTTTGGAAAACCAAATTATTTTTAATGGTGACTGTCAATGATGCAATCCTGACAGTATCATACTTTCTGGAGGAAGATTTAAGTGAAGTTAGCACTTAAATGATTCCAAGAAAGAGTCACCAACATAAAGTAGATGATCAAAGGGGAAAGAAAGTACTAAATTTTCTAGAGGTAAGAAACAACAGAAGAGTTGTATTTCCTCTAAAATGAAAAGTTTATATTTCAAGGTGGTGTCCTGAAATATTAGTGGAATGAACGTGAGTACCATTTCTCTAACCCTCATAGACTCGTCGCCATTTTGAGGACTTCTGCTTCTGGCTATGATGTGGTAGTTTATAATAAATCCATGCTTCTTCAAGAAGAAGAAGAAAAGTTGACTTAAAAAAAAAAGCTTTCAAGGCAAAACAATTCAGAGGGACTAGGTTCCCAGAGAGAGCAGAAATAAGATACCCCCAAAAGGGTGAGCCAAAGTCCTATGAACTGTTCTTCCCTTCACAGTATTATTTACTGACCATTATTAGCATGGAGCAAAAGGCTAAGAATCTAGGCAGAAGGATGCAGCTATTAGGGAAGCAAGTCAGCAGAAATTTTAGCAATGTCACGAGGCTAATGACACAAAAACTGGAGTTTGGGACTGCCGCCATGGTAGCCAGAACATGAATATCTAACAGCCCAGTGAGAAGGGGGTGGTTTTTCCCTGGAGCCATTTGGAAAATTCTTAAGCTGTATAAAGGCAGAAGATTAAGAACATAAGCAGGAAGCTACTGAAAATCTCATTAGAGTTTTCTACACTGCGCAGAGGTAAAAACTTCGAGTCAGAACATTCCAAGAAGAAGAGGTCATAATAAATACCCAGACTCTCAAGTGAGATTCTAGGAGGGGGCAATCTGGCAACAGAATCAGACAAAAACTATATTCCAGTTTTTTTTTTTTTAAAGATTTTATTTATTTGACAGAGAGAGATACAGCGAGAGAGGGAACACAAGCAGGGGGAGTGGGAGAGGGAGAAGCAGGCTTCCCGCGGAGCAGGGAGCCCGATGCGGGGCTCGATCCCAGGACCCTGGGATCATGACCTGAGCCGAAGGCAGATGCTTAACGACTGAGCCACCCAGGCGCCCCAAACTATATTCCAGTTTTGAGTCAGCACAGATTCTGATTAAATGAAGTATTCTTTATCTAAATCATTCACTTTCCTACCTGAAATTTTACTGCTCTTAATTTTGATATCGATATTTAGATATTGATCTAAATCTATCAAAGAAATCTATATAAATCTAGAAAGATCCCAGATATCATCCCAGATGGGAGAAATCACATCAAATTTCATTTTGTAGCAAACTTTAAGGCAAGGGTCTTTTGGTTGTTGACCTGTGGGCTTTTCCAAAGGGCTCTCAAAGATCCTGAACTGTATTTTCTCCAAATTTAAATACCTCTTCCTTTCAGTATATATATATACACACACTAAATATATATATATATACTGAAGGCTTGGAATCATTTAAGTGCTAACTTCGCTTAAATCTTCCTCCAGAAAGTATGATACTGTTAGGACTGCATCATTGACAGTCACCATTAAAAATAATTTGGTTTTCCAAAGACTTATCTGGTCCTCTCTGCTCTTTGGTAATGTTCATTAAGCCTTATATACGTGTGTGTGTATATATACACACACACATATATATATGAGGGGGTGAGTGGCATAAAGAGTTGCTTTGAAAAAACTAGTAAATTAGAGTAAATGAAGCATTCCCTTGAACTCCTGAAAGATAATTTTAACAAACACTAAAAATAAAACTGAAATTTGGGAAGTACATCATTAGCTTTTACATTATAAGATGATGCTTCCAGAGGTTATCGTAAATGGTGACACTGATTTCCTACTCATCCAGTAAGTTTAAGACAGGGTATCTAGCATAGCAAACTTGAAAGAATCTATATCATCACATAAAGTGGAAATTTAAGGAACTAATTAGTTATTGAGGCTTTTTCTTCTTAGAACAGTCAAACCAAACACATCCAAGTATGGATCCTCAGAATCTTGTTTCACCACTTAAGATTTAGTTTATTCCATGACTACACATTCAGTGAGTATGAACTCTTTTCCCAACATATTACTAACCTGGTCGATTTGGCTTTTTTGAGTTTACATGGTTAGCTGCAGAAACAGCATAGGATGAAGTGAAGGATCTGCTTTTGGTGAGGGTCATCATCACTGGGTTATTCCAAGAATCAGGACTAACAGCACTATAAAGACAGAGCATAAAGAAAAATGAAGAAATTATTCATCAGTTATTGGGATAGATCTTGCCAGAATGCAATCACCATTTCCATAATCGGTTTGCCAATCTGAGTCACGGTCCAGGTTCAGTGACAGGACCACTTTACTTCCAAATGAAAGAATAAGTTATCTGAGCTCAGTTTCTGCTGCAGCGAGACAAGTTAGGCCTCAAACATACTGGGTTGATAAAAGAGGAAAGAACTTTCCTATTTATCCAGTTAGTAGGAACCAGACAATTCTTACTGTATTACTGTAATCATGTTCCTCATAGATCTTCTAAACTTTGATAAATGTATTAGTTAAGATGCAGGGGAACCTACATTAGTTATGAATGTCATGATGCTCCCTTTATGCTCTTTACTATTTATTATTCTTGTTGTATCTAAGTTAAAAAATTAAGTGCTTATGAAATATTCAAAGACAATATTCTTTGCAGTATTTCCTCATGAAGGAAGGGTTAGCAATAGGCTTTTAGCCTACAATTTCTTTTACTGGCAATACCCTGGAAAGAAAGGGATGATGAGCCAAATCCCCTTGTAGATATGCTATTGATGGACCCTGCTGATAAACACACTGATACTATTTACTGGGAGAAAGGTAACGGACAGTGAGTCTTCATCTAGAAAGTGCTTTTATCAGGATATCCTTGGTTATTATTGTAAATAAATCTGGAATTAATGGATCTATGGAAGTTTGGGGAGGAGAACGTTACACACCCATGTAATTAATAGGATATAAATTTTGAAGGTGTTCCGCACCAAAATTTATCTGCATGCACTGCTCTAAACCTTATGTTAAATCTAAAACAGAATCCACTGAAATTTGAGAGAGAAAAGAATCCAGGAAGTTGTGTTGACAATCTTGGAATCCTCCATGGGAAAAATGCTTGGTCTGTGTTTTGCTAACACCTGTGTGCTACCAAACATTAATAAACTTGGTACTGGGTAAAATCTACAATTTGCGTGAGTATAGTTTGACAATGTGACATTCCGCCAATTTTATACCAGCACTATAAGCAGGATGTACCTGGTCTGTCTGCACGGCTTATTGTAAATAAACCTGAATTGATGGAATTATGGAGTCATGAATGGTGAATATTTGTCATGTAAGATGTATAATCAATAGAATAATTTAAAGATGTTCCATAACCAAAGTGGCTTCCTCTGCTCAAGCAACATTATGCATGCATTGCTTAGAATTCTGCATGTTAAATATAAACTAGAACATGTGCTAATGTGGAATAGAAGGACTTTTTTAGGGTGCTGCACTGTTTCATACCTCTTGAAGGGAATAATGTGGAGCATGTGCTTTGCTATAGCCCATATCCTCTGACTATTAGTAAATTTAGGAATGAATCAGATCTATAACTTGTGTTGAGTTCAATTTAACACTCTGACAAATATGTTACCTCATCTCTTCTCATTTTCCTTTTCATATTTTTCAACTGTTGACTCAGGCATTTAAAAACTTCATCTTTTCTCCTAATTCTACTAACGGTTTATAAAATAAATAATAAAATAAATATAAATAATAAAAAAAGACATTTGAAATACAGAATGAACTCCAGCAATTACCAATGAAGAAAAGCACACTAAATAATATTGGTTTCATATTCTTCTTGAAATCTCATTCTAGCCATTTATTTCAAAAATGCCTAGAACTTGGAAACAATGAAATCAAATAAAACTTGGAACCTGGATAGATAACTACACTAACTGCTTCCTTACAGCGCTGTTCCCTTTCAACTTCTTTTGCTGGACTGAATGACTTACAAGATTTACTGTGAAAAAATTTTCTGCAGTATACATGTGACCTAGGAGTTTTAATTTCTTAGTACATAATACAGTGAGTAGGTTATTACTTTTCTATGTAGACTTTTAAAAGAAAAGACCTTAATATTAACTGCATTTTATTATAGTTATGTATTTAATTAATATCACAAAAAGTTCCATTATGAAGGCTAGCCTGAAAAATGCCTATTCCTTTTTTAATACAAACATTTAAAATATGTTAATTTTGAAAAGTTTTATAGAGTACCTTTAATAGATGGGAAATTATATATTCCTTCTTCATATAATATTAATTTACTAAAATACACATTAATAAAACAATAACTCAATATATTTATGTATATGTAGATAGACAGATGTGTGTATGTGTATTTGCCTTATAATTTCCTGGCATTTTAGAATATATTGCTTTCTGTGATCCTTGCGACAATTTTCAGCTTTGTATTGACCCTCACCTTCTTGATTCCTGTTTAGATCTCATGAATATGTATGTAATAATTTGGGTATTGGAGATCAAAGTAGCTTAGGGAAACCTTTACTTAGTCACTTCATTCTGAAAAAAGGAAAATTTTCTACATGTCTTCTGTGGAAGATCTCAATCCCCTTCCACAAAAGTAGATTTGATAATCTTAGTTCTACTCGTAACAACTTCATCCTAGGTCTGAAAAGTCTTACCAGATCCTGAGGTTTTTTGTTGTTGTTGTTTGTTTTTAAACCAAGTTTACCGCCTCCTTTCTGCCTACCATACAGAGGCAGGGGACAGTTCCAAGGCTGAGCTGGAATGACTAGAGTATGATTTATTTCAGACTTTTTGATTTATCTCAAGCCTATTTTTTCTGAAGTACCTACTGGTATGCTTCTACCTAATGCTTCTACCTCCCCACTGTGCCACAGTTCCCTTCTCCTAAGGATTCCTTGCAGTGGGTACCTAGGCTCAGACAAGGACCTGCTCCTCAGGACACGCATCTCTGGGTGGCAGGGCCAAGGTCCTTTTGTTCTTCAGTCCAGTGTCCTTCCTATGCAGCTGTAGTTAAAACTACCCAGGAGCCAATCAGCCAGCTAAATAGCAAAGGGCATGTAAGCTGAGGGCTGCTCCTAATTTTCACTTCCCTCTCTTGTTCTTTTGATCACTGCAGTCCTCAAAGTCCTCAAGAGAAAGACACACAGGAAGAAAGGAAGAAACAAAAGGGCTGATGGGAAAAAAACTACAAGGGCTAAACCTCAAATCAGTTTTGAAATCAATCAGTAGTGTTACCAATCGGTCTCCTAAGTGGAGGTTTTAACTTTGGTTTACACTCAGGGCTGGAGGTGATCTGTGGCTATCTTTCCACTGTTTTCCCCCGTGACAAAGAAGGAGTCAACCAAAACCAGTTGTATTTAATGATGGTACCATTGCCACTTATATATGGTTTCCCCTCCAGTTCTTCAGAATGAATTTCATTTCTTCATAATGGTGAAAATTTGTATCATTTTCAGATTTTATAAACAGGACATTTATAGGACAGTGAAATAAGGAATTAAATTAGACAGGGGGAAAACATATCCTCAGGCAAAACAGCTGTAAGTATTTCTTGGACAAAGAAAATGCGTGGGATTGGACGCTCTTCCTTATCTATTTTGAAAATATTTGATTATGAGCATTTATTTCATCAAGCAGGATGACAGGATCCCTAGGAGTTAAGCTCATAAAAGTTCTTGAAACCTTCTTCGTGATAATTTCAATTACAGTCCCTAATGTCATTTAACTAAGAAGAAAAAAGTACGAGAAATGAGATTTGACCAGAAGTAATAAACGATTACAGAAAGAAAGGAGACGTTTATGCACAAATGGATTTTTGGCAGAGTCATTGTATGTTAAGGAAATCACGGAGCATTAACTATTCTATGACAGAAATCTTGACAAGGTGTGTTGGTAAAATAGCCTCTCTAAAGATATACGCTGAGAACAAAATTCATTTTCTTAAGGAACAAATATTTAACGAGGATCCACTATCACTTATCAGTATTTGCTGCTGTAGACACTGATAACGGTCAATATTTTCAAAGGAAAATATCACTAATGACCTATAATTTCGACCTTCAGGAAAAGTCCACGAAACAGATTAGGTAACCTTCTCCTGTGGTGGCGTTTGACATTTTACAAAAGCCCAGGTAATCAGATGGAGTCAAAGTACACTGATACGTGAAAGAAAGAATCATTTGAGTTTGCTTCTGATTCTACAGGTTCATTAGATTATCCAAGTTAATATGGAAGAAACCAGTTACACGTATTTTTAAATGGCAAAGCAAGAAAAGTTAGTGATCATTAAACTCATGATTTGAAATGTTTCCATTTCTCTGCCAGTCTCAAAATGGTGCTTTATTTATATTCAAGCCCAAGATCAGGAGAAAATTACTTCTAATATTGCCATCATGGAGTTCAACAAAGATGTGGTTATTTTTCAGTCATTAATAAAGCTGATGCAAATATTTCAAAAACCTGAAATCATATGGGAAATGTTCTCAAAATTATTGAATTCATATAAAGCATGCTATTTTTATCCTAACTAGAAAAGGACAAACACAATGGTATTTCCTCCAAAATTCTTTCTAGATCTTGGGGCACCTGGGTGGCTCAGTTGTTAAGTGTCTGCCTTCGGCTCAGGTCATGATCCCAGGGTCCTGGGACCGAGCCCCACATCGGGGTCCCTGCTCCATGGGAAGCCTGCTTCTCCCTCTCCCTCTCCCTGCTGCTTGTGTTCCCTCTCTCGCTGTGTCTCTGTCAAATAAATAAATAAAATCTTTTTCTAAGAAGTTGTCCTCTAGGGGCTCCTGGGTGGCTCAGTCGTTAAGCTTCTGCCTTCGGCTCAGGTCATGATCCCAGGGTCCTGGGATCGAGCCCCGTATAGGGCTCCCTGCTCAGCGGGAAGCGTGCTTCTCCCTCTCCCACTCCCCACTGCTTGTGTTCCCTCTCTCATTGTGTCTCTGTCAAATAAATAAATAAAATCTTTAAAAAAAAAATTCTTTCTAGATCTTAACGCTGTCTTTCCTTTAGCTTTGGTAATTCTGACTTTTAAATCACGCTGTAAAATTGTAATTAATATGCTAAATAAAGTTTGTTCTATTTTTAAATTAAGATATAATTGACATATTAGTTTCAGGTGTACAATATAGTGATTCGATATTTGCATATATTATGAGACAATCAACAAAATAAGTCTGGTAGCATCCATCACCACACAGTTACAAAAATATTTTTCTGGTGATGAGGACTTTTAAGATTACTCTCAGCAACTTCCAAATGTGCGATGCAGCATTATTAACTATAGTCACCATGCTGTATGTTATATCCCTGTGACAATTATTTAAAGCTGAAAGTTTGTACCTTTTGACCCCCTTTACCCATTTGGCACACCCCACCCCACCCCCAGCTCCTGTTTCTGGCAACCACCAATTTGTGCTCTAAATAAACTTTAGATTACCAAATGTTTGAACATATCCAGATGCTCTTAGGATGACGATCTACTTTTTGATCTGATCTTTCGCCTTTCATATAATGTAGGAGAACTGATCTGGTGGGCTGGGGGGAATCTAAAAACAATTTGCAGATGTCAGGTTGGATGCCTTTGATTTCAGAATCTCAATATCAATCACAGTCTAGATAAAATCTAGCTCACCACTACTCTGGGCTTGCTCACCTCTTCCCATCCTCTCACCCTGGCAGGCATCACCCCAAGTCACTGTTTCCATTTATATTTAAGACCAAGCAACACAATTTAAGCCTAATTATCTGATGTTAATCCATACAGTGCTTTGCATTTAAAGCATATACCTTCTTCATTTTCAAAGCTGGCCTCCAACCAAACATAACTGGTTGGGCCACTTTTCCTCTGTAATTTATAATTCCTTTTGGTAAGTAACTTCTCTAAGAGATGTGAAACCAACAGGAGCATAGCCTAACCTTGATGAAGATGCTTCATGTAGTTTGATGCTAGCGCTCCGGTCCCTCCGTACTGGGGCAGGCTCCAAAGTGGGTAGGCCTGTGGCTGAGGTGGTGGTTGTCCAAGTTGATGAAACCCGTCTCAACAAACCAGGAGGCAAACTCCTTCTCAGGCGCTAGGAAGGAGGAGTGTTGATTTTATCACCAAGCATATTTTTGATCACTCATTATAAAATACAATGGAAGAAAATGGGTTTTTAATTGGAAGTGAATTTATTAAACCATATTGGCTGAATATTACCTGTCTGAAAAGTGGGTGCTCAGGAGTTCAATAAAAGAATATTATAAAATTAACATTTGGGGATCTTCATTTACATGATGATTGTAATATGGAATTATAGGAATGAAAGTCACTTACCTTTGGGAGAACCTTTGGGAAAACTTAAAACTTTATCAGTTCAATGGGATATACACGCTTATCCATGTATTATATTAGTTATTATGAGCAAAAGTTTTCCCTCAAAGTCATCTGTTTGGGGCATGGATTGATTTTTATCATCTTGCAAAACAGTCTCCACACCAAAGTGTTTATTAATATAATTTTAATTTCTTGATTTGCAAAAGGCAGGAGCTGAATCTAAGAGTGTAACTCACAAAATGCACCACTTTTCTTGTGGCTAGCAAGACTTAGACATCAGGCATAAGGGTAATATCATCAGTACCAACTCTTCTTAACAGAGGAGTCTGCTGGTTGACCTGCAACCCTCTCATTACTATTTCTTCTCCTATGATATCCCAAACAGGATATGTGGCATCAATGTTAGAGAGGCAAGATTCTGAGCTTACCAGGATGAATACCAGCACTCTAAAGAGGGTCTTCACCTTAAAAATTAAAGTGAAGGTATTCTTCTGATACAACTACAGCAATATGGTTATAATAAGTAGAAGCTCAACCCATTTTTATTTGTGGCTAGCTATTCCTAGCAGACCAACCATGTAGACATTCTTTTCAAAGATGCATCCTGGCCTCCTGAAGATAACAAAAGCTTTTGAGAAGTATATGGCACCTTGAGGTTCAAGAATAGCTCAGATACTAGTTTCCCGTATTTCTTAAAGATCTGAATATGCATCTTTGAAAGTAATTCAATAGTAAGAGAAAAGGTCAAGCACTGTAAATACCAGGACTGATGCCTGAAAATCTCACTAACTTCATGTCTATTTTGAGGCTGAATGGAACCAGTTAATCTCTCTCCATTCCTTGACTGTCACATCATGCTTAGCCATACCTTTCTCAGAGACTAAGATGTTCAAAAAGAATCATGTAAATACCTAATTGACAAAGTTGTGTGAAACACACATTCCTCAGATAAGAGACTCACAACAGCTAATTCATGGGTGTTACTGACTGACCACCAGCTTGAGGGGACAGATGCCTGTTTACCAAACAGATAACTGTGCAGGCTGTGCTGGAGAGGACTTAAATTCTGATTTGTTTTCAGTCTTTAAAACAACCCGTTTTCAATTAATGCAAGGTCTAAGCTGGGTATAGGATCCCATTTCCTACAGCTTACATTTGTAAAACTCTTATATCTTACACATAAAAAGAAGGAATTTACAAATCACTAAGGCCATCTTTTACTTTAAGCAATCCAAAATCAATTAAAACTGCTTGAGTTCAAAACTTCTTGGATTTGGGAAAGCCAGGAGGGCACTGTGAATGATATCACACAAAGAAACCATGAGCAGCGGATCTCTGGATTTCAGAGGGCAAGGGATTTTAAAAAGAACCCACACTAGAATGGGAGCAGGGACTTTTGCCTGCCCCCCGCCCCTCACTGCTAAATCCCTATCCCACAAAACAGAGCCTGACATATAGACATAAAAACTTCTTCAAAGTCGGAATTAAAAAAAGGTAAAACTTTCATTTACAGAAAGCTATGTTTAAGTCTTTATGTTTAAATTCTTATTACTTTGATCACCATGACCAACACATCTTCAATGAGTCACTGACATGACTCTGCATCTGGGTTTGAGGGTAACAAGAAACAGACCTAGAAGGCGAAAGAAAAGATTTAACCTTTGCAGGGATAGGTCATTAATACCTACCTTGGGAATAGCCAGCTTGTCTTTTTCAGAGCTTTCCTCAGAATCAGAACAGGTGTAATTTTCACTGAAGGAAACAACAGGATTCATGCGGGGCTTGTGAATAGCCTGGAAGGTGAGCTGGGTGTTGAGCAGGTTGCTCACGGCCCTCAAGGATGTGCACACGTTGGGGGGCAGTGAAGGGTCTGCCAGGAGGTCGGTAATGAGGCCATGAGCCTCACCCATCACGGCAATATCCACAGTAATACTGGTTCCTGAGGACTGAGACACCAAACAGAGGAACAAGTGAGAAAAGGCCTGAAGCTGAGGCACACACACTAAAATGGGGCTCTTTCCAAAAAATGGGCTGATTGACTCTTTCAGGTTGTAGTAAAGGAACATTCAAATCACATTTCTGTTTCAAATTTTGCCAAAATTTGCCATGGCTTTTGCCATTTTTGTGTTCCTGGAATGTTTTTTGATGTTAGAACTTGGAGAGGGGTAGGACATATTTGAAGAAATTAAAAAGATAAACACTAGTTTTTGGAAGTCAAGAAGTTGGGGCACCTGGGCAGCTCAGTCAGTTAAGCCTCTGACTCTTGGTTATCAGCTCAGGTCGTGTTCTCAGGGTTGGGAGATGGAGCCCTGCATTTGGCTCCTCGCTCAGTGGGGAGCCTGCTTGAGATTTTCCCTCTCCCTCTGCCCCCACTTGTGCTCTCTCTCTCTCTCTAAAATTAATAAATCTTAAAAAAAAAAAAGGCAAGAAGTTTCAGAGAACTGGAAAAAACTTTCTATCAGCCACTCCTTATGAAGAGCTCAACATTTTAATGCATATTATTTAGAAATTTCATTCTAAAAGTTTAACATTAATATACTGTAAACTTTTAATTTTAGTAATGTTTTAATGTTTAGTAATTTTTGGTAAAATTTTAAAGTAATTTAAGTCTTTTAAGCCTGGTATATTGTAGTTATTTTTTTTTTAAGATTTTATTTATTCACCTGAAAGAGAGAGAGAGCACACGAGGGGGAGGGGCAGAGAGAGAGCCACGGCAAAGGTCTTCAAGCAAAAACAAAGCAATATTCATGCCAGTAAGAAGTAAATGATCCATACTGGAATTGGCTAAGAAACCAAAGTGGACATTTTTACTATTGAAAAAGTATACTTTAACGAGGTATACTTAATACGGGAATGAAATCAGGTCTTTGCTACACTGGCTTTCTGATTCAAGACTAGAACTGTACAATGGTCAAAAGTTGCATCACACATAGAAGTTATCACCACTTTTTGGCTCAAATAACTAAAGGCTTCAATGAGGCATAAAATCTAAAACCAACAATCAGATTTGCTTGCCACAAAATTGCCAAGACTAACCACACATGACAGATGGGCCCCTATTTCAATAAGCAGCAGTCAAGTTATAAAGACACAGGAGAGTCCAAGGAGTAACTATTAAGGAATTTTAGGGGAGAAGGGCTTTGGTTGATAGCAGAGTTTTTTCCTCAGATGATACAAAATACGAAAAAGAGTGACTCACACGGAGGGTATTGCCATACCCTATCCAACTTTGAAAATAATGTAACTAAATTTCTAAGTATACCAATAAATACTCAGAGATATTCCATTTAACTGGTGAAATCTTAGTGAATAAATAGTAAAGGTTAAGTTTATATGAAAGCCACTTTAAAGGAAAGTCTTAAGCTAACAGCCTGAAATCATCTTTGAGTGCAGTAATGAACTATACTAAAGCATAAAACCACAGTTGAGTCTTTTTATGGTAGAGCTAAAACAAATCTTTTCCTTTTTTTTTTTTTAAAAAGGGACCAAGCAATATAAGACATTCTACTTTGCAAGCTCTCCTTATAATATTTGTATTTAACATTTAAGAAGATGCAAGTATAATTCCCTGAACATTATTTAAATGACAACCAAATTTGGATCGCTACCTTTAAATAGAAAATCTGGAATTTAAGTCTGATAAACAGTGAGGAAAGTGTAGTTTTATATGTTAAACCAAAAATAACTGATTCCCTTGGTAAATCCACCACTTTTCAAAGCACCCAGTTTTTAAAATATTTTCCCTTCTCCCCATTATCTCCGTCCAGTTTACTTTACCATCTCTAGGGTGTGAATACATAGATGCCTTGCTATATAATATGATCTAGTTGCTTCCAAGTTACTTTACTCATTGTAAACCAAAGGCCGGGAAAATCTGGAGTTATACATAAGAAGTTAAAGAAATAATAACAAATACACTTATAAACACCATTAAACATAACTCCTAGAATACGCATGTATTAACTCAATTATAGGAAATTTGTTTTCACTCTTACTACTGCTGTGCTAAAACTCTGAAATTACACTATTAGTATGATAAAAGGGAAAGCTTTGAATATGTGTAGTGGTCAGAAAGGATGTGCCCTTTGTGAAGGGCACCCAAGCTTCTAAATTACCCTCAGAGGCAAATTTTGAAAAATTCCAACAAATAAATTCATGTAATCAAATTACTAACAGCATGTATGTAAAATAAAATCATATATCTTTAAGTAACATGCCGGATTATTTACTGCAGCACTGTGTTTGGGTTTCTGTCAAAATATTATTCAGAAATGGGGAATTTCTAAAAGGAATAATTGTTAAACAGTTTTAGGAAATAACTACAGGAACAAGGTGAATGAAAACAAAGAAGCCAACAAACACCATTTCGTTTAAAGAACGAGAAGATGCTCAGAGGACAAATCAGAAAGGGACTGGGAAAATTGAGGTCAACAACAATTTGCTATTCAAAATGATCAGGGAGGCTATCTGGTGTAGAAAGTGGGCTGAAGGTAATGCATCTAATTCCTGATGAATTCTGTCAGAGGCAGCACCATGAACAGTCAAGTTATATCTCTTCTTCCTACATATTTTGAAGCAAAGATTAAACTGATAACTTAGTCAAATAGATTACATACATCCCTGCTTAGAAGTGGAAGATATATAATAACTCTCAAGTCTTCTGACTCAGTGAATTAGTGAATCATCTGATGAGTCATTTGCTTTGGAGATTAATTTATTCTGACTGGAATAAATAGAATTAGAAGCAGTATAAAAGCCCCTCTTCATAATTCTACATGAAACCCAAAGATAGGTTACAAATGCCAAAGAACCATGATCGAGACAATTACCTATATAACTTAGTTGAGATGCTGTATGCCTTGAATCAGACCACTGTTTTGTTTAATATTTTAACTTAGGATGGTTTCCAAAACTGACCACAGATTTATTCTAGGCAATATTGTATCCATTGGGGGTACACAGTCCTCCCCTTTGCAAAAATCAGAGAACTGGGTTGGATCTTCCTAAGGTCCTTTCCAATTCCATAAATCTAAAGCATTTTGCATACACACACACACATACATCAAAGAAGAAAGAATAAAATGATTTTAAAACTTATTTCCTGGCATCAGTAAGCATTTTAAATTTGTTAAGACAATTTAAAAAGTATTATGTAGACAGAAAATGCTTTGTTTCACATTGCTAATCATACCCAAGCTCTACCTTATAACTTATGATTGAGTCACTGATGCTGTCTCCTTTCTATATTAAAATGCCTAGTGTACACTGAGTGCTCGGGGGGGTGGTGGAGAGGCTACTCCCTGGAACTTCTACATACTTCTACTCCCAAGAGTTGAGCTGTACGTTTGCCAAGTGTCAGTTTCCTTTGGTCCCACATCTGTTCAGGCCAGTTGTATTTTGTCACTGTAAATTACCTATGCTGATAAACATCCATAAACCAGTGATAACATGAGTAAAAAACGGAAAAGTTGCTTTAAAAACGAAGTTGAATAGCTTTAAAGACTTCATAAATACATTTCATCAAAGTGAGGTCCCAGTATCGATTTCTGTTAAGTAGGGAAGGTACGACTCTAAACATCCCAAAAGAAAATGATAACCTATCTGAAAGATTTGAACCCAGAATGCTTTCAAGTACCTAAGTCACTTCCACTCTGGAATAAATTGGAACTGGCAGTTGGGTACAATGAAGCACCATGTGGTACATGGAAGAAAGAGAACTTCTCAGACGTGCTCAAAGAGAAACATTCTTGGCTCTTCATCAAAAAGGCTCGTGAAAGCCTGCATATTTCTATGTAGTAAGTTAAATATATTGCAAGAGGTACAGAAAATAGAGGTCAAAGTTGTATAATTCTCTGCTTTAAAACTTTTAAAATCAACAGAATGACTACACTCCTGATTCTATCTGTTAAAAGAGCTCCACGCCATTTTAAACCCAACACCTTTCACTTGAAAGCCCTCCAGTGAAAGGAACCATTTATAATAAATAGTTACGTCATAGCTATTCGTTACCACCCCTGAAACTGGGAGGAGAAAGTAAGGTTTGGTTTACGAATTAGCACATGGGGTGCAAAAAGGAACAAGTGCCTTTTTTTGTCATGTATGTAAAATGGAAGTTTGTATACGTGAGAAGTTGGAAAACAAAGTTATAAAGAACCAGGATAAAAGAGAGGAAGTTGTACTTATTCATCAATATCAAATTTTTATTTTGGGAATTAGAACATGGGGCCTTTAAGAGTAGAGGCTCTAGAGTCAGTCTGGCTGCATCCAAATTTAAGATCTGTTGAGATTTGCAAAACATTTATGTATCTCCCTTGCTCGTTTTCTTATTTCTGAGCAGGGGATAATAATAATATTGACTGTATAGTATCGTTAATGATTAAATGAAATCATGCACATAAAGACCTCAGCAGAGGTGCTTGGCCCACAAGGCATGTTTGATAAATATCATATATCACCACCATTATTATTACTGCACGGAAAAAACTGTGTGGTAAAGGCTACACACCGCACATATGTTTGTCTTCAACATATACTGGGCCAGTAGTTTGTTCATAAATGAAATGCAGCATAGAGACAGAATTTCTTCCTCAACAAAACCAAAATCACCAAAACAAAAACCTGAATACTTTCATTTCTTATTCTAGGTAAATCTACAGATCGTACTCCCTATTCCCATATACTCTAAGAGTTCTGAGATTAATTTTAGGCTCTCAGAAAGTAATTGTACAAAGGTCCTGGTTTCAGTTAATATGGTTGATTGCACTGGTATAATTTATAACACAGTATGTGAAAGGAATTCTAAAAGCAGGCATCTTAGCTCCATTGTTGGAAGGTGGTTTTTTTTTTCTTTTTTTTCCTTTCTATTTAGTCATCCTGGGAGGCACCCTGGGAGGCAAACATAGCATGGGAAGAACATTCTCAGGGTGAAGAGGGAGTTGGGATAAGA